TTAATATTATTTTTATTAATTATTTTTTTTTTTAATTTTTGTTCAATTTTTTTTTTAATTGTTTTACAAATGTTCTTTGACTTACAAAAAAATTCTATTAATTTAGCTTAAATTTTTCGAGTTTTATAATATTTTTTTTTCTAGTAGAAAACCAAAATTTTTTAGTTAATGAAAGAATATATATTAACTACTAAATATAATTGGTAAAAACGCTAGATTTAAAATTTTCAAGACAACTCGCACCAAAGAATACCAAATTATCATTTTACATATTTAATTTTTTTTTCTAAAACATTTTTTTGTTAGGAAACACAATTTAAAATGGTGTTTTTAAACGTTTTAATTATTAAAATATTTAAAACATGTTTTTTTTGGTACGCGAATGTTTACAAAAAAAAAAAAAATAAAAATAAAATATTCATATTTCTAACAGTCTTTTATGTAATTTTATTTTAATTATTATATTTTTTTTTAATAGCCAAAACACAATTATTAATTAGTTTTTTAACACCTAAAAAACAAGTATTAATTTATTTTTTAATATATATTATAAAGAAAAATACTTTAACTTACTACAAAAAGATAAAAAATAATAAATTTATTTTTTAGTAGAATTAACTTTTTTTGGTATTTTCGAATACGATTTTCTTTATTGAAGAACAATTCGAGCATAGGTTTTGGAGCTTATAGAATACTAAATTAAATTCAATAAATTTTTTCTATTAAAATAGTGAAGAACACTTTAAGGAATTAATTACAATATTAAAACAAAACAAAATAAGATTTCATATCTAATTTAAGCAACTTCATCGAAAATGTACATATATAAATATCATATTTCTAATCTTATTCAATTTAAATCATTTCACTTTAATTTTAACAAATATAAAACACAGCTAATTTATTTACTTATTTTTTTTTTTTTTTCTAGAAAAGGTTTTTCACCAACTCCAATAAAGTACAAATAAAATTATTTATTTTTCAAAAAAAAAAAAAATTTTTTTAATTTTCTAAGTCTATTACCTACAAAAAGACTCAAAACACAGCAAAAGCCGTGTCCAAACATTTTGGTTTTTTACCAAAAATATGATGCGCAGAATTCCACTTACAAATGAAAAATATGATCTATAGGAATTTAACTTTAATTTCATACTTTTTATTTTAAGTCTTTTTTGAGATATGTTTTTTTTAGAAAAATCTTTTTTACACCAAAAAATGCAGTTTCTTCCTTGTCAAACAATAATCTCAGCCAACTTTCCGCGAATTCACACTCATATATTGAAGTATACGTATGTACTGTGTACGGTTTCCAATGTCAAAAATTATAGAAATTGCTACAGATATATATATCTATATATATTTACATATATGTGTACATCGCTGATGGCATGCGCCTGCATACTAGCACCTTGGTATCTACTGTATCTACTCGTATATGGACAGCATAACCATTGGGACACTTGCACTTACATACATACATCTAATAGCAAAAAATCTAAACTAAAAAATCTACCACTTGCTTACAGCACTTGCAAATCTTTCTTTCACTCGCAACTTCAAAATCAATATTTGCAACGTAATTAACTTCAAAAATTGAAATTTATGCGATCGTTTCAAGTTAAGAATTCTAATGAAGGGCTCTTAAAAATAGTTGCAGACATTTACACGTATACACTCACATACACACACACACAAACACACAATCACATATATAGCAGCTATCTAAATGCGCGTATATTGAAAGTGTAGCAGCAACAACAGCAGCAACAGCTAGACAAGTGGGCTTTAGGGTGCCTGCTGCAATGCTTTTGTGTACATAAATACTTGAAGTAGAAGTGCATTTATGTTTTTGCAAGGGAGTCGTCAGCGTGATGGTGTATCATTTGTATTTAGTATTTTTTTATATACTTTTATTTTATTTCTTTTTTTTTTTGTTATTTGGTCTTGCTTTACTATTGGCGCTTGGCCAAATTGTCTGTTGCGGTTTTTCAACGTGCAAAAATTCCCGTTTATTGCAACAAGCGAAAATATTGTAAATTTGTAAATGAAAAGTGTCAACCATATAGGCAGGGCAGACAGACAGACATACGTATGTATGTATGTATTTAAGTCAATAATATCTATCTAAGCAGATATATGGCTATAGATATGGTACATACACACATACATAGGTATGTATGCTTAAGCCAGTCAGCCAGCCGGTAGCAAGATTTGTCTAGACGCTGGGCAACACTTTGCTTTCTTTGGAACTTTTTAATAAGTATTTTTTTTTTTTTTTTTTTCTTTGCTTTCTTTGGAACTTTTTAATAAGTATTTTTTTTTTTTTTAAATTCTTTTTCAGTTTGATTTTTTCTGCGCGGCGGGCGTATATGCCAGCAAGTTCGTGGATTTTCTTTATAATTTATTTTTATGATTTTTTTTTTCATTTTTTTTTCTCATTTTCCCCCCACTATTACTGACTGCTCTGCGCCCTGTGACGAAATCACAAAAATTTACTGTAAATAATTATGCAGCATGCAAAGTGAAAAACTTACGCGCGTCTTGTCTTCTTCATCGTCAGCCCGCCAACCAGCCAGCCTGGTAGCTGGGCAAGCGGTCGCGTCTATAAGTCGCTGAATTGAGTAATTACATTGGAAAATGAATTGAGAAATTGCATTGAAGTCGCTGTCTGTTTTTCCACTTTTTTTTTTTGTTTTTTCACTGTGTGTTGGTGTGCGGTTAACGCTAATTGCGGCGCAAAAATTCTAGTGGAGGCTGGTAGTCAGCTGAAAAGCTGGAGGGGTGCGCGTTGTGTGGTTTTTTCGAATGTAAATAGATTTTTTTTTACATTTAGCTATGTTTGTAGATGCATACTTAGTTTTGGTTTGCTATGAATTTGCATTTTTCTATTGCCAATTGTCAATTGATTGCATATTAATTTATTTGTTAAGCTTGGGTTGATGATATAACAGTAAGATTCTTTTTATATAATTTTGTTTTTGTATTTTTTTTTACTCACTCAACAATTAAGTGTTCAATAAGTCAATCAATCATCGTTTGTCTGGCTAAGGCGTTAAAATTTTATTTACTATGAATTCGAATTTAATTATTTATTGCTAAAAGTGGATTTTTTGCGTAAAATGATGTCTTATGAAATAACTTTAATTTAAGATAATGTCTGGGAAACATATTTATAATATGAGAAAGTGTTCTTTGATGCAAGATTTGGAATTGTTTTCGTTAAAATTTTAATTAAAAAAAATGAGCAGCCGGTAGAAAACTTTTCGATAGAAAATCCAAGAATATTATATTTTTATTTCAAAATTATTTGCCTGGGAACTATTTCGAAACTTTTATATAAAAATTATAAAGCAACTAGAGAAGTTTTTTTTTATTAAAAAATGCTACAAAATTTATTTTATATATTTTTAAAATATTTAAATTTACTTGCGATTTTTTTTTTTTTGATATTATTTTCTCTTAAAATCCCATGTAATTTTTATTAAGCCGCCAGAGATAGGTTTTTTATTCCAGAATATATTTTTATAACTCCCAAAAATTTAATTTAAAAAAATGTAATGGAACCAAAGAGGAGAATTTTTTTCAATTCAACAGAACTATTTATTTTATCTTGCAAATTAATAACAACAAATTAAGCAGCGCTTATATATATGGGGGAAATGACAATGAAAAAAATCATAAACTATTTATGATTCGCGGAAATTAAATTTTTCCACTTTTCAAATTAAGTTGAAAGCTTAAATTTTTATTGAAAAAATGTTTTCTCCAGCAATGAAACGATAAATTTATTTAAATTTAATAAATAAATATAAAATTTTCATAAAAAGATTTAGGCAGGACCAAGAAGATTTTTGGTATAAAAAGAAAGTGACTTAAATTTTTAAAGCTTTTTGGTATAAAAAGAAAGTGACTTAAATTTTTAAAGCTTTTTGATAGAAAAAGAATCAGTGAATCAGTAAAATTTCGAAGCTTTTTGGTATAAAAAAGGGAGTTAAGTTTCCCTTGGAAAAGAGTAACAAAATTAATCCCTAAAATGTTTATTAAAAAAATAAAAATAAATAAATAATAATAAGGATAAATAGAGATATAAGCCAAATCTATTTATTACATACTGTTGATATGAATTTTCGAAAAAAAAAAATTATTCGAAAATTAAAATACTTTAAATCAAGTATGATCTGCTGAAATTAGTATTTTCTATTCTTCTTTCTTTATGTATAATTTTATTTAACTTCGGTTAATTTTTTGCCAGTAAGGAAACCACAGCCGAAATATTTCTTCGAACTTTTTTTTATAGTTCAACTAAGTTATCAAATCTTAAATACTTCGAAATAGCATCAAAGATCTCAAAAAATTTATATTTTTTAAAAAATAAATTTTTTATGTAGATTAGCTTTCAACCAAAAATATTTTTTTTTATAAAAAAATCGGTTTATGTACAGAATAGTTAAAAAATAAATATAATTTAAATTAGAAAATAAATTAGAAATAATTCTGAGTTAAAAAAACAACTCAAAGTTGTTCAGCATTGGTTTAAAAGATACTTTTTTTGTAATTAGCATAAAGGAAAATAATATTCAAAATTAGTAACAAATTTATATACATATTATATTATGTATATATGTTTACGTATATTAATTTTTCATAGATTTTTTCCTTCACGCTTTTTGTACAAAATATACAAGTGATATTTTCAGGTTCTAAGGATTTATAATGTTTTCGTTAGCCATTTTTGAAAATAATGATTTTCTAAAATAATACAATAAAATCCCAAGACCAAGCACTTATTTAAAAAAATTATATTTTTCAAAAATTGTAACCAAAAAAACTATTAAAACGCATATCTATTGTGTATATAAGGTAGTAGGTGGGTAACCACGCCCACTTCCTATCAGCCTTGTTACCAAAATGACTTCTGACGTAAGTAAAATTTTTTTTTTTAATTAAAAAAAAATATATATATATTAAAATACAATAAACATCAAAGTAAATTAACTCACCTGTTGTAAAAATTGTGCCAATAGATAAAATTGCTCCTTTTTGAAAAACCAATCCATCGATTGAACAGCCGTCAAATCCATATCGGCTGTCCCAGCGGCTTGCGGCACTTGTGGCTGCATTCGGTGGCTGCTAGCTGCTAATGATAATGATGCTGTTGCTGTTGCTGTTGTTGTTTGCAAATTATTATTATTGTTGCTATTATTAATAAAATTGTTAAAAATTTTATCACTATTATTATTAATAATTTTATTATTTAACGTTGATGATGACAACGCATTTGTTGTTGTTTCTGACGTTTCATTTACTGTTGTAGCTGTTAATGTTGTGGTTGTTATTGGGTGTATTGGTGGTGTTGGCGATGTTGGTGTGGGTGTGGATCTACCAGCACCAGCAGCAGCTGCAACATCCGCACTGGCACCGGCAACACACGTTGTTGTCGCTGTTGTTGCCGTTGTTGCTAGCGTTTTGGCACGCGTTGTATATGGTATGATTGTTGTTGGCGTTGCCGTGTTTGTTTTTTTCTTTTTATACTTTACTTGTTAAATATTGTTTTAAAATTTTTTTCTTGTATATTTTCGCTATTCTACTTGCGCTTTTTTATTTGTTTGCTCAGCAGCGATTTTTCACTGCTGCTTTTTTGTGCACTTCTTCACTTTGCTGTTAACATTTGTTTTGTTGCTTAGTTTTTTTGTTTCTTCACAAATTTTTCTTCTTTTTTTTAACACTTTACACAATTTATTTATATAATTTTTTTCGTTTCACTTTTTGTCTCCGCAGAAGGGTTAAAATTCTTTAGTTTTTCTTCTTCGTATGTCGTCTAACTCGAAATTTCAATCTTTGTCTGATTTTAGCCATTTATGTATGTATATTGGGAAATGCATTAATTTTGATTTTTTGATTCTGGTTTAAAAACTGAAAAGGTATAAAATTTAATTTGAAAAAAAATAAAAAAATATTTGATAATTTTTTTTTTTCTTTTTTATAGTTTTTGTTAACAAATACGACTTTTCACATTTATTAAACAAAAATTAAATAATCTATATTAAATTATTAGATTCGAAATTGTCTTAATTTAAAAAAAAAACCACTGTTTTTAATGTTTTCACTTTGTCACATATAACTGTTGAAAAATATCGAAAAATTTTTCATTTGCAAAACGATTTTATAATTACATAATTTGTCTTATTTTCACCATTTTTGGGCCTAAATAGAGTCTTATACTTCTACTTCCTTAAAGGAAAAGAGCATTTCTATTGGTAAAATTTATTTCAGAAAATTGCACACAAAACTAATAACACAATTACTGTTTCCACAAAAAAGCTTTTTAAGTAACTTCAAAATTAAAATTTTAATATGTCTGCTTTCGAATGGAAAATTTAAAAAAAAATAAAAAAAAAATAAAGAAAAACTTTTGGTAGATTAATAACAATAAATAATTTTAAAAATAATAAGCCGCTGAAATCTTCTAAAACCAGCGTTGAGGAAAGCAAATTTTTAGTTTTTCGTATACTTTTTTCAAAAAAAAAAAAATATTTTTTTATTGTTACTAATACAAACTGACAACACTTTATCTAATACTATGAGTGTTTTATAGTTTTTGAAATATCTTTGAAACAATTCAGCTATTTTTAGGTTTAAAAACTCTTGTTCAGTTTCTCATGACTTCACTTCTATTCTTGTATTTAATCATAACATATGCTGTTGTTGTACTTGGTAATACTAAATTATTACACTTTGTCTTATATCACAGTGCTTTTTTCTTTTTGGAATATTTTTTTAGTCCTTTTAAAAACTTAGTTTTTATGCTTTTTCTTTTAATACAAACAGTTTACAGTTTTTTCAACTTCTTTACTTCACTTGCATTAGCGCATTTGCCGTCGCTATTTGATTTTCAGTCCTTTTCATAGGCAAAGCTGGCATAAATACTGAATTGTTGTTCTAATTTATTTATTGTTGTTGTTGCAAACATTTATTTATTGTCTTAATTATAAGAAAATTATTGTTAGTTTATTTTAAAAAATTTATTTATATTTATGTTTAAATTTTAATTTTAAAAAACCTCATTTTTTCAATTTATCATTTTTAATTAAGTGACGGAAGGGGGAAAAATTGTTTCTGTATTTAATTTTACGCTTAATTATATACTTTTATATATTTATATTTATTAAATTTGAAATTATTTATTTATTAAAAAATATTAGAAGTTTCCGTTCTTCATTTATTTTTAAACGACGGAAGAAAAATAAATGAATATATTTTCTCCAAACGTAACGGAAAGTAATTTAAAAAAAATTGTTAAAAAAAATTTGTATGAATTTTTAATGTTTAACGCTCGATTATGAAAGTGAATTGTTAATTTTGCTTTCTGTCACTTTCAAAAAAATAAAGCGATATTTAGTGCATTGTATAATGTATTTTGTTTAATTTTTGATAATTTTTTACACAAAAATCAAGGCTTTTCCATTTAAAAATTATTTATACAAATCACATAATATCATATAGTCCCCACAGTTTAAAACATCGTTTTCTGTATTGTTTATTTATTTTGTTAATTTTATATTAATTAATTGGTCTCTTATTATTATGCTTTAATTTATTCTAAATAAGTGTTTTTATTTAAATTTGCTTACTAAAATATTTTTTCTCAAAGAAATCAACGCTAGAATATTAAAATTTGCCTTCTACATCTCCTTGCATATTTTCAATACCGAAATTTCTCAGCATAATTTTTACTAAAATTAAACTAAATGCTTCAATAGCTTTTTTAAAGCAGCATCACAATCTTTTACCGCCGCTAAATGAAATAAATTTGTTTAAAAATTGTCTAAAATTGTTTTGTTTATTTATTTGTTGCATTGTTTTGTATGCTTTTACAAGTACACACAGTCACACAAACACAGTGATATGAAAACACACTTATATATATACATAATGTATTTACTATACATATATACTGCATATTTATACACGCCCACAATTTAGTGGAATGTTGTTGTTTATTGTTGTTTATGCAGTATTTGTTGACACTCAAATTCCAAGCTTTTATAATTATTTTTTTTTTATTTGTATTCACTGCATGTTTGTATTGTAAATGTCATCGATTTTTAATTAATTAAATTAATTATACTTAAACAATAAGCACTTTTTACCGTAATTCATATTACCGCTTAAAGCCCGGTTTATTTTTGCATTATTTTACTGTTGCTCTGTCCATTTAAATATTTTTATTTTTATTTATTTTTCTATCGACCGTTGTTTCTACACGCTGTCCGTGGCAAGCGTTTTGGCGTATACACTCACTATTGGCTATATTATTAATTATGATAATAACAAACAAACACAATCAAGAGACAGACAGACAGACACACACGCAGACAGCGCAACGTTAATTTAATAAGATGTTGCCTGTCACGAATTCGGCTGATGACTGAACAAATCGAACATTAACGAAGCGCGCACAACCCTCCCGTGTGTGTATGGCCAATGCGACAGCGCTAACAGCAGCGCAGTCGACTGCGCATACATATCAAACACACACACACAGTATATAGAGTTGTATCAATGCGGCGTGTTGAGAAGCGTACGGTGGCAATCTCTGGTAGTGGAGTATTGGCCAACATTCGTTCGAAAAGTCGTCAATGTGTTGGTAGTGCTCTTGTTGCGAGCGTTGTTTAACAGTTTCTGCTTGTTGTTATTGCTGTTGCTGTTATTATGATTATTTGTTCTTCTGCTCGATTCTTCGAATGCTAGTGCTGCTACTGCTGCTTGTGGCTGGTGGCTGGTTGCTGGTGGCTGGCGGCTGCCGGCAGTGGTAGTAGTAGTGGCAGTTCACGCCGTTGTTGTTGTTATTGCTATTGTTGGTGTTATTGCTATTTAGTTTGGCGTTGCCAATCGTCTCATCGTTCCATCATCGGTTGTTCCATCGGTTCATACGCTCAGCGCCCCCACCAAAAAACACCAACATTACTGTATGTGGTAGTAATGGCCTTACCAACACTCCAGGCCACGACTCTTCCTCTTCAGCAGCAGTTTTTCGTTTTCGCTCTTTCATTGTTATTGTTATTGCTTTTTACCCATACGTTGTCGTTTTTATTTCCTTATTTGTTATTGCTTTTTGGTTTCGTATTTTTTATTTTATTTTTTATTTATTGTCTTTGATTTACTTTACCCACTCGTTGATATTTTATTTTTCCCATATTACACTTTTCCCAATCTTTGCTTTTGTTGCTTATCCTATTTTTATTACATACATGTTCGGTTTGATTTCAGTAAATGCTTTTCCATTCTGCTGACTTGTCGCAGCAGAGCCAGTGGTAGTGTTAACAGTGCAGTGTACGTTGACGCTGACGCCGTCGACTGCGGAAGTGTAGTTGGCTGGCGTTCGCTTCGGCTTATTTCGGCTCATTTGTTGTGAGTGGCGGTGTTTGTGTATTCGATTAATGAACGTACCAATAAAAGTTGTAAAAAATGGAGTGGCTGGTTAATGAAAGGTTTTTAATGTGTAGGGAATTTTATGAGTGCCGTTGCTGGTTGGAAAAATAATGAGTGGTGGGATTTTCTTATTTATGTATTACGTAGACATGTAAGGTATTACAGGTCAAGCAGGTGGAGTTTCATTGAGTGTTATTTAAATGAAAGAAAATTGTATTAAATTTAACTAAATTAAATTAAAGAAATAAATTGAAACAAGTACTAAGTAAAGTACTAAAAAATTATAAAAAGTAAAATAAGTAGAGTGAAATGATACAAATTTAATTGGCACAAAAAAAACCAATAACATAAAATAAAGTAAATAAAATAGAAAATTATAAAACAAAATAATTAGCAATAAGAGCCAATATGAACATAATTTAAATTTAAATAAAAGAAAATCAAATGAAATAGAGATAACAAAATAAAAATAAAAAAAACAAAAAAATTTAAATAAATAAAATAATACAAAATGGTAATAAATTAAATTAAATTAATCAGATTTTATAGAGATAAAATAAAGTTGAATTAAACATAAATTATATAAAATAAATAAAAAATAAATAATAAAATGGCTTCTGAAAGGGTAACTATCTGTATTTTTTTTTGTTTCTCGCTTTCTCTAATAAACATTCATACATACATACATATATATATGATATGGTTGGAGTTTGGTAAAGCGAATATGGTTATAGATGTTCAAGTATAAATATGCTTAGACGAGAGTAGAGCCTCTGTGATATCATGATGTTGACCAATCAGTTCGTTTTACTGTCCATTCACTTCTAATTTATTTAATTTATCTCACTTATATAACTGATATTGGAGTCTGGCTCTACCTAAGGCAGAACAGTAACACGAGAAAATTTAACGATCGTCCCTTACATCTCAACCTGCATGCATTTTCCGAGCTCCTAGCTTGTCTATGCGTCATTCCATCAGGCAGTAATCCATGCGGTCTTCTACTGCTTTCAAATATTTTCTTTTGAAAACGAGCACCAAACTTTTTGATCCCATTCCATTCAAGCTTATATGCATCACATTTTCCTCCTATATGTCAGTGAACAGTAGTGCAATTGAGAGAGAGTCTGCTCTGTTTGGGCGTCTCTCGCAGAAATTGGTGACAGGACAAAAAATATATTCTATGTAAAGTTATTTGTCCTAAATGACTGACGGAATAACCCAAAATCTAAACCACTGACCATAAAGACCCTGAAACTAAGATATTGTATTCTGCGTATGGCTTAAGCATCCAATCCTCCCCAAAGATGGTTTGAACGCAAAGCGAAGTTTGTATGGATCAAGGTGCTCTGGAAACTCTGAACTCTGAAACTACCGAACTATTTTGGATCAAATATCGAGCTCAACAGTTATTTGAACCAACTTAAATCATGTTTTTCCTAGAAGTGGACCAGCGGGCGATCTATTCGAATTCGATTAAATTGATTTGGACGATAAGATGGCTCTTTACCTATTCCAAGAACTTTTCTTTACGGAATGTTGAATATCCTTGCGATCGATGTTGCGGGCAAAATCTAGTACATGTTGTGTTATCAGTTAGATAATAAGGAGACACAAGGTATATTTAAAACATTTTTGAAGATTGCTGGATATAATTTTTAAAAAATTTTAAAAATTTTTTTATTAATATTTTATTTTACCTCAAAATATTCTCGGTTACTATTAATTATTATTATATTTTCATTTTTTTTTTTGGGTGACAGATGTTTTAATATAATAAAAATAGCTCATTTGTTTTAACAATACAAATAAATTAAAAATTATAAATAATTTTTCTTTTAATAATAAGGTATTAAATTTTTTCATTCCTCCGTAATTAAACGCCGCCTTCAATAAAATCCTTGCGGCACTTCATATTAAAAAAATTTACTCAAATCTCTGCTGCAACTAGCAAGTGTTCAACAGCGAAAAACTTTCAACAATTTGTGCTCTCAAACCGGAACATACTCATTTCTAGCCTGTAATAAATGTGCACGCAACAAAAACTATCACTCAATTGAGTGCCAACAGTTACGACGACGATGTTGACCTATGCCACAGTCGAAGTCGCTGCTAACACCGCTGTTCACGTCGCAGTGAGCACAACAGACAGCAAGTTCGCTGCTTTATTCCTTCGTTTGTTAGCCTGCGTGTGTTTGTATGTGCGTGCGCTGCTTTGCTGCTGTTGCGTTTACAGTGTATTTGATTGGTGTTGTTATTATTGTTTGCTTTTGATTTACTTTTAACTATATTGAATTTGTCATTGCGTTACTCTGTTGTTGATTTTTTTTGTTTTGCTCAGTTAGCAAGTGAGTGCATATGACTTTCTACCCTGTTGTTGTTGTATTTTTTTTTTCGATGTAAAAATTCATATGCTTGCTCTCCCTCTTACAGGCTCGTGTACACTTTTCCAACCACTTATTGAAGCAGATTTACTTTAATATTTTTCTTCGATTCCAATATGTGTGTGCTCTCAAAGTGGCTTTCTTTTAATATAAAAATTGGAAAAAAATCGTATTTTATTTGACATTTGGTTTTTTGTTTTTGCAATAAATTTACTCCCATGCGCATCAGCACCACTCGCTCTCTCTCTCTCTCTCTCTCTACTCGCTATCGCAAGTTTAACTCTCTCTACTGCTTTTAGATTAAACATTTCATTTGTGTTGAAGTCTATGATGGCTTTGCCATCGTCTTTACTGGTTTTTTATCGGCTTTCTTATGTGTTTGATTTTTGTATATTTTGCTTTTGCATCAATTGAGCGCATTTGATTATTTTTTCAAGAGCGCCGAGTCTCTCAGTTTCAAACACACGTGCGCATACATATATACAAAAATACAAATGTTTGTAAATGCCTGTATGGCTAAGTGAACGCTTCCTTGGAATACCATGCGAATGAGTTACGTTGAAGTCGTCGTCTTAGTGGTCGGCGTCGTCGGCGTCGTCGCCGATGCCCGCTTATTCGCTGCCATTACGTCGTCAACGCCAATGTATTGAAATTCATTCATTCACTTCAATTTGTTTTTATTTCTCTCTCTCGGCCCATTATTTGTTAGCTTGCTTGCTTGCTTGCTGTTGTCATTGCTGGTGGCGCTCTTGTTGTTGCTGTTATTGTATTCTTTCGTTTTATATTTTTTCATATAAGCTTCGTTGTTGGTGTTGTGTTTGGGGTTCGTTTGGGTTCGCCCGTTCGTTATCGCCTGCTTCTGTTGCTGTTGCTGTTGCCGCTGCTTGACTGCCAACCTTCCGTGGGTTGCTTGCTTGCCTGCCTGCCTGACTGCTTTGACTTCGGCTCTTGGCTTCGTTTGCTATTTCATTCTGTCGCGTGTGGCTCACAATTCAATCGAAATCATTTCATCGTCGCAGTTTTTATTGCTATTTTTTCGTTGCTTTTTTTTTTTTGATCGGCTCCTTTGGGGGGCTGGGAGACACACACCACTCAGACGTATAGGTGTTCGTGTGTGTAAGTGTATGTGTTTGTGGCGTATACAAATCCGATTTTTTCTCGCACCGGCGCGACGCTACTTTTTACATACAGAGCACATACTTACATACATACATATAATATAAAAATGTTCATTCGTTGTTGTTGGCCTTTGTTATCGTTTTGTCGTTGCTGTTGCCGTTGTTGTCGTTGGTGTTGTTGTTTCGTGCATCAACTAGTATTCAATACGATTACGATTTCTTTTCCATTTATTCTGTCGTCTTTTTCAACGACTACTGTGTCCGTCCCTCAGCCACTGCCTCGACGCTCTCAACACGAAAGCTGGTAGAAAAATATTTATGTAAATATGTATGTAATGATGTGTGCGCTTGAGGTGGAGCGCCATCGTTGTTGTCGCGTATGTACATATGTATGTATGAGTATCTATTTTATTGTTATTGTAGTTTTGGGGCCGCACATCTTTCTTCTTTTCTTCAGTTGCCCTGTGCGGGCCGGCTGCTGA